CGGCATTGGGTTTGTTGTAGTGATCCTATGGCGATTCGTATGGCGCTGAATCATTATTGCCGAATGCACGTCGAGAGCAGCTGGTTCAAGTTTCGATTCAAAGTGCGTTATTTTAGCGTCCCACCTACGATACTATATACTCCACATTTGAAACACACGACGTACGTGGCAACTTGCTCGTTGCCATTTTCAAAAAGGCATGGCGCCGTCAACAACGTTCACGCGCGAGGGGTCGTACGCCAAGTTCTCGGAGGCCGCGAAAGCGCGGCGCGGTCCGCTCGGGTACTTGGCCCGCGCATATGACAAGCTTTTGCAGCAGTCCAAGACCTTCGGCGTGCGCTTGTGTCTCGTTCTTGGCGGCCTCTTGCTGCTCTTGCCCGCCGTCCTTACACCGCGTACGGCCTGTCTCGTCCATACTTCTCTTTCTCGACTGATAAGGCTTGTGTTCTTAGTGTTTGTCTGCTGGAAGGTCGACGGTACGATCGACTGGAGCTGGGCCACCGTGATGGTGTTTGTCTGGATTTACGACTTTATGGCCTGGTACGCACTGCACTTGAACGGCTCTAAGTGGCGTGTGTTTTGTAGCAATGGCACCCTTACGTGGCTTTGCGGCTTTCTCTTGCACCTCTTTGTGGTGCTGCGCCTTGACGGACATGTGGACTGGTCCTGGATCTGCGTCTTCATCCCGGCCTACGTCTCGGTTTTTGACTGGGATGGTTCGAGCGACCTCTGTTTTGCGCTCCAGCTCATTTTTCTCGGGCTTCAACTCGACCACACGGTTACGTGGTCGTGGCTCGTTGTCTTCATCCCGACGTGGGTGCCGTCTGCCATTGGTGGCCTCTTCTTCGTACGTTCGATCCATCGATGACCTGGCTTGACACTCGATTAGATTGTCTTTGTATTCGTCGCCTGCTTTTCCGATACCTCGTCGCGACTGGGTGCGCTCGGCCTGAGTCTTTTGGCGTGTCTCGGCTTTGGGCTCCTCGTTGCGCCCCAAGTCCTCCTCCTCGTCCGGCTCGGGTCGGCCACGTTCTCGGCCGTGTACATTATTCTGCCGTGGCTTATCCTCATGGGTCTAGTGGCCCTTGCGGTATTTAGTATCGTCAGCAATGGAGTGGCAACTGATGATATTTGTGTAGGGCATTGCCGCGGTCATGTTTCTGGATTTGGACGACCTCATGAATGTACCTGCCACGACGCCACACGAAGAAGTCTAGCGCGCTACACACGCTGCCAGTAC